GTTAGACTGCACAAGGTAGACTAATCCCGACTGGCTATTTTAAAGAGAGCAGGGGTCCGAGCTGAAGGGACAGGGTGGGTGTTTTGGCAGGAAGGATGGTTACAGGCAGGTCAGAACAGGTAGCCAGGGGTGACCTAAGGCAAAGAAGGTGACTGCAGCAGGTGACTGGAAAAGGTGACCAGGATGAATCAGGATGAAGCGGGGGGGCCAGGGAAACAGACGTGAACTACTGATTAGAACCAGTAGAGAAGGTTATTTACTGGAATTACAAGGAAGTTAAACTTTAAAATAGACAATTGAAGAATAAGACAGCTGAACACACTGACATACTGATTCTTTGAAGAGAAACTTGGGGTTCACTATAACAGTGAAGGTTCCTGCCCCTCACACAATTTCAGAAGACAGAAGGCTTGATGGCATCATGTATGCCACTGGGGCTTGAAGAGATCCTTTAGAGTGCCTGGAAGAGGAAGGAGGGAGGAGGAAGTGGACATACCTTCTCCTGTTCTCTGCGGCTCTCAGGAGGCACAGAAGAGGACCCGGATGTCTACCGGAAGCACAGAGCTTGGTGGAGAGGTCACAGGTGTACAGCAACCTGAGTGGGGGCCGAAGAGACACACAGCTGCCCCTCTAGGGTAACGGCGTCTGTGAAGGAGCTGGCATGAAGCTGAACATGGTCCCAGGAAACCACGAACACAGCTACAGCAAGATGGCAGATGCCATGAACAAAGTGCCACCAGATGCGGGTGCGGGCCCCCCCTCCTCCTGCTGCTGCTGCTTCCAGCCACAAAAAGAGGATTGCTCTCTCCTCCCCGCTGGGGTTGGAGTCAGCAAAGCTGGGATAGACAGTGTTAGTTCAGGGAGAGAAAGCATGTACCTGTGAGTAAGGACAGCTAATGATATTGAATTTTGACAGAATGGTCAACAGAGAAAGCTAAGACTTTAATAACCAGATTTGATCACAAAAATCAGTGGACTAGACTAAGATTTAAACAAAAATAGGGCAAAAAAAAATAAGACATATGCTCTGGGTAGCCTTTTAAGGTTAAAGAAGTTTTGAGAATATAGCAAGCTTCATTTAAAAGAATTTGCATGGATCTACTTCAGTCCAACTGTTATACTTACATTCAAATAGGATTGTTATGATACACTGTTTTGCAGCCTGCTATTTTCACTGGGTTATATATTGTGAACATTTGTCCATGTCAATATATAGTCTTCTACAACATGGTTTTTAATGTCTGTTTAGCATTCTACCACATGAATGTACGTGTTTTACTTAAATGGTAGCTTATTGTTAAACATTAAGGCTGTTCCAATTTTTCAGTATTATAAACAAGTTTGATGAAGAATCTTACACATATATTTTTCACACATCTCTGATTGTGCCTATAAGATAAATTCACAGTTAAGGGATTGCTGGTGCATAGGGTATTTGTATTTTAAGGCTCTTAACACACATTAGAAGGTTTGTGTCAATTTACACTTCCACTAGACATAATTTTTAAAGGCTAATTTTCTATTTATCTATTTCTCATTCTGACTCAACAATAAATTGAAGTGGCTAAAGGGTGCTCGTAAATCCATCTTTCTTTCATTATTATGTTATAGTTAGGATGGATTTAGAACTAGTAAAACTAGCAACACTAACAGTGGTTTTTTTTGTTTGTTTGTTTGTTTTGAGTTGGAGTTTCGCTCTTCTTACCCAGGCTGGAGTGCAATGGCGCGATCTCGGCTCACCGCAACCTCCGTCACCTGGGTTCAAGCAATTCTCCTGCCTCAGCCTCCTGAGTAGCTGGGATTACAGGCAC